GAGCATTTGCTTAAATACTTGTATCTATAAAAAAAAGACGTGTATATATATATATATATATATATATATATATATATATATATATATATATATATATATATATATATATATATATGTATATATATATATATATGTATATATATGTGTATATATATATATATGCATGTATATATATATATGTATGTATATATATATGTATGTTTTTATATATATATATATATATGTATATATGTATTGACTTTCAGTTTTGACTTTCCACTTAGTCAGTAGGCATCTTCAATAATTCTCCAAAAGACAGCATACCATGATGAAAAAACGCCCCAAACTTAATAAATAAAATTTTATCGTCAAAAGGTTTATGTTATTAAAAAGAAAGACCAAAGTATTTTTTAATTATTTAAAAAAATTTTTGAATCCTTCGAAATTTTGGTTAAAAATCTTTTTTTTTTTTACGTTAGCGGTCACGTAATATTTACCATTAGTTTTTTAGCACATTTTTCAGTTGAAAAACACATTAATTTGGAAATTATTGCAAAAATCAAATAATTGTCGGATTTTAATGAAACTTTCAGAACAGAACTTATTCACAAAGAAATTGAATTATTTTAGAAATATTTTAAAAAGTAATATTAAAAGTATGTTTTTACATCTATTACCCCCCCCACACACACACACACACGCACGTTTATTTAACTTATGAAAACTCGAAAATTTGTCTTCTGTGTAAGTTTGTGATTATAATAATTGAAAGCGGAAGACATTGAAGTATATAAATCATCGATCTTTTTAGTAAATTTCGACCCGATGTTACCTCAAATTCAGCTTTGAATTGTAAAATACAAAACCCAATAAAATTAATACATCATTTAATTTAAAAAAAACTTTTACTAGCTTTTATGAATAATATATATTAAGGACACTATTGTCTGAAGCCAAAATTGTTTTCCCATGAAAAATGAATTTTTACAAGAATTTTTTTTTCCAATTTTAAATACAAAATGTGATAAATTTATCAAATATTTTAAAATAATAAGATTGAATCTGTCTTTTTGGAAAGGCTGTTATTAAAAAGATCTATTTTTACAGATCATAAACTTGGAAGCTTATATAATTTGCGACAAGATAATATTTTTTAAATATTTTTTAATAAGCAAAAAATATATTAAAAACATTCTCCAAAAGTATGGATGCACAGTTCCGAAATAATAGGTCACGTGTTTTAAGAGAAAGACCTTAAGAAATTACTTTACTTGCCTTCTGGCTAGCACGTATCAAATTCTCTGACTTACCATCATCGTCACATTTTGAAAATTTTTAATTTCTTTTTTACATCCTATTTCACTAAATATTTAAATTTCATTTTTTTTAACTATAATTTATTTATTATTTTTCAGTGAGAGAAAAACCTCAATTATTATTTTCTTTTTTAGATTCAATTTTTGGGACGGAAACATTGCAGTCTTTGAACAAATCTTTGTTAAAAAAAATACATAGAAAAACAATAAAATATTAGACTTATGAAAGTATTTAATTTTTTTAAATTACCTCATAACTAAATAAGCTAGTTCACTTAAAATTCGAAAATACTATCACTTCTGTCCTGCCGTCCGATAAATTGCCCTGACGTTAGTTGTCGATACATTGATGTAAACGTCAAACGGTTAAACATGGTTCTCTTATTTTCAACTATTTTTTCTGTTTAAAAATTAAGTAATGTTTCTTTCCAATAACATTAAGTAAACTTTTTTTTTTTTAATTTCCTTAAATAACTTTTGAAAAAGTATAATTGAAGTTTACAAGATTTTAAACGGAGAATTTCACTATTGTTTACAAAGTTTTGAATAATGGCTGACATGATCGATTTTATGACAATTAGCTGACTCAAAAAAAGAAAAACAAGATTTTTCACTAAATTTTCTAACGTGCTAGGAAAGATTAAAAATAATCAAAAAAAAATAATCAAAAAAATGTTTTTCTCTTTCTTCTTAATAATAACAGAAACATTTAGACGATAAAAAATTGTTTATCAAGTCTTAGGCCTTTTTTCATGATCACTTTCGTTTTGAATACTATTATACATTATACAAACACACACACACACTTACACACATTTACACACACACACACACACACACACACACACACACATATATATATATATATATATATATATATATATCGATTCAGAAGGAACACTTTCTTTAGCAAAACTTCTCGATCTCTAAACCGGTTGACAATAATTTGTTTAAAAAATGAATGTCTATTCAAATACATGTACTAACAAAATCTAACGAGCATAGAAATAATAGATGACACACACACACACACACACACACACATATATATATATATATATATATATATATATATATATATATATGTATTTACATTATTCGGACTATTGTTCTCATTTTTGTTGCCCTATTTATCACAACGTTTCGGCTGTTGTACGCCTTTGTCCAGTGTCCTCGATGATATTCCAACCACCTGAAGAAGGCCGGAGCGTACAACGTCCGAAATGTTGTGATATGGCAACAAAGATGAGGACAATAGTCCGAACAATGTAAATAGTGTACATAATACCTCATCTCAGAAATATAGATATATATATGTGTGTGTGTGTGTGTGTGTGTGTGTGTGTGTGTGTGTGTGTGTGTGTGTGTGTGTGTGTGTGTGTCGAGCCAGGAGGAACATTGTTTTTAGTCGTCACCGGTTGACATTAATTTCACTGTTAAAAAAGATAAAAAACAGGTATTTCTGCCCAAATACTTAAATAGTAAGAATGTGTACCCATACATACACGCACACGCACACACACACACACATATATATATATATATATATATAAGTCAACGTAAAGTATGGAGGATGCTAAGTGATGTAATTTAATGCCTAATAAAGATATATATATATATATATATATATATATATATATATATGCAAAGTTTTAGGTATAAATAAAATATATCTGTACAATATATCTTTATTAGGCATTAAATTTCATCACTTAGCATCCTCCATACTTTACGTTGACCTACATTGTTAGCCTTATGAATATGTTTATTCGTTCTTATTTTTTTTTATTTTGAAAACCTAACGATATCTTTTTACTTTAGTTTATAAATACATCTTCTAAAATGAAACCCCTGAGAGGACGAAACGTGTTGGTCAGGAATGTTTTTTCTTTGTTTTTATTCATTTTAAATATTTTGCAAATATTTCTTCTTAGGTATACCAAACAAATTCTATTAATATTTTGGGAGCGCCCGTGCATGTGTGAAAAGAGAAGCCAGCAGCAGAAATATTGCCGACTTTGATGGGTTTGTAAAAATCTGCTGTTCGGTTGCATGTCATCAGAAACTGATTGAAAGCAGACGACATTAAAAATATAAAATGTTTACTAGCTCGGACATTAACAATGCATTTCGAACAAATTAAAAAAAATGTATGCTAGTAATTTTTGTAATTTTTAATGTTATTTATAATAATTAAATTAATTAAATAATTAGATAGCCCAAACAAAAACTATGCATATTTTTATTGGTTAAAACATATATCGAAGAGTGAATTTCAACATGGAAGGATGTTTTTATTCAAATTGGCAATTATACTGTGATGAAATCTTTCTATGACCTACAAGTCTCTACTTACCAGAAAATATTAAAATGAAAATGAAAATTTAATCAATCTAGGATCTGTTATACACAATCTACTTTATTTTATATAGATGTTATTATAGACATAACGTTTCGACCAGTTACCCTCTGGTAGCCATCAGGTGTCAACTGATTTGCTGATATGGGATATCTGCTGATTATTGTGATATTTTTGTCCCTGTAATATCAGTTATTGTTCGTTCCTGCTGAATTTGTGCGTCACTACCAGATCCGAGGATTGAACCAAAAGATGACGGTACTTCTATATTCACTAAGCTACCTTAACTGATTCATCAGGAACGAACAATAACTGATATAACAGGGATAAAAATATCACAATAATCAACAGATATCCCATTACAACTAATCAATGGACACCTGATGATGACCAGGGGGTACCTGGTCGAAAACGTTGTGTCTATAATAACATGTATATGAACCGAGATGAGAACAAAAATTCGAAAATAATACAAAAATATTGACAATGACTTAGATCAGAAATGAAATACTGACAAATTCTCTTTGGTTAATACAATTAGGATTTCACCAAGATTCGAACACTGACCACCGAAGCAACTGCCTCAATTTCAAAACGCACACAAAAGAATATCTAATCGAAATGAATATACGCTTATTTCAAAATCGAAAAATCATTGACTACATCAGTTTCTTTTATGTAAAATGACCGAGAGATATTTTCAAGTTACCTTTTTTTTTTACAGTTTTCTTGATCTCAACATTCACGTTCCAGAGAATTAAATGTTCGGGTGAATAATTGTCTTCAAATTCCTTGTCAGGTCACGAGAGGAACTAATAGAATGAAGTCAGTACTAATAACACATTTATAATGCATCATTTTGCAATCTCTTCACTGTAATTCTTTTTTACATGTTCTCTTTTTATATTCTTTTACTTTGTTTGGGTTGATTTTTTTTTTTTTTTTTACGAAAAAGTAAAATGTTTTGTTCATAGCTTTTTGCCTGGCCTAAAGCGAATGGACCAGGGATTATGACATGCCATAATTTATCTGCATGAAAATGATACAAACATTAATACGAAACCGGAATGTCTCAGATTTAGGTGATCAAAAACAATATTGCTGTCCGCCATGGACCTTAGCCAACCGTCTACAGGAATTTCGAGTGGACTCTTGTAATTTTTCTCGGATTAAAGGAAATGACGATAAAACACTTGTAGATGAATTTGTGCACACAGAAAGAAAAACATGTAACTAAATGACCAGAGATCAGATTTTATTTTTGATCTCCTAACAGACTGACGTACACCAGCACTGCCATACACATTTTTATCAAGATGTTTTATATTGTTCTGTTTCAATATGACAAATATTGTAGTCCAATTTGACTGAAATTTGAATTAGAGAGAGAAAGAGAGAGAGAGAGAGAAAGGGTGAGAGATAGAGAGAGAGAGAAAGAGAGAGAGAGAGAGAGAGAAAGAGAGATAGAGTGAAAGAGAGATTGTCATTAAAAAGTGAACGCGCCATCCAGATATTTATCAAAATTCTTTACGCCCATCTCTTTCTGTTTCCATCTAACAACAAACCCTGTAGTCTAAAGTGAGATAAACTGATGACTTCAGATAGATATGAATAAAGTGAGATAGATAGATAGATAGATAGATAGATAGATAGATAGATAGATAGATAGATAGAAACAGACTAACAGATAGATGGTAATGTACTAAAGGCTCTAATGAATTCTGAATTGATTAGGCATCTCACCTCGCAGGCTACACTTTCAGACAAACAATATGGCTTTCACTTCTCTAAGTCAACTGCTGATGTATTAATGGTTATTGCTGACGGAGTCTGTCAAGTTTTGGATAAGAATGGTGAAGCTCGGGCTGTTGCTTTGGACACATCTCGAAGGCATTTGACAGGGCTTGGCATATTGATCTATTTCAAAAGTTGAAAGGTTATTGTATTTCTGGACGAATTTTTGAAATGATGCTAACCTCCAGGGACTCGTTACGTCTTCTTGGGCTAATGTTTTTCGCTGATATGTATTAGAAAGATTACATTGAATCACTTGCTAGGTCTGATACTTGAAAAGTTGGTTCCTTGTGTCCTGCTAGACAACCTATTTCGATAGAATATATCTTACATATCTATGTCTCATTCGTCCTTACTTTGAATATTGCTGCCACATCTGGGATGGTGCCCTGCTATATATTTAGAGATTTTTGATAAAATCCAAAGAAGAATATGCCATGTTATTGTCCCTGGCTTGGCATCTCGGCTTAAGTCTCTTTCCCACCGCCGAAACATTGCTTCCCTTTGCCTTTTCTATAAATAATTTCATGGTAATTATTCGGACGAACCTTTCTCTATGGTACTTAGAATTTATTAATTTAAGCGCAATGCTAGATTGACAGAAAGGTCTCATTATTTTGCAATTGAAATGACTAGATGTAACTATAAGTTCTATAATAATAGTTTCTCGCATCGTGCTCCCCGTTTATGCAAATCTCTTCCAGCTCCTTGCGCTGTCCAGTCAAATTTGATTTTCAAAAGTTTAAATCCATTGCCAATCGCTATTTTATATCTTCTTAATTCTTGTTCTCTCCTTAATAGTTTTTCTCATATTCTCTAACACTTAATGACCCCCCTTACGTCTTAATGGCTTTATTGCCTTGCTTGGGATGAAATGATTAAAGAATAGACAAACAGATAGATAGATAGATAGATAGATAGATAGATAGATAGATAGATAGATAGGAATACTTTAAGATATAAACAGATATCAACATAGAAAAATGTACATAATTTCTTTAGTGGTACAAATTCGATTTGAAAAAGTTTGCCTTTTTGAAAAAAACTCTGGACCGGACATGTAAGGAACGACGCAGGAAATAATGTAATCGCGCAACACCCTCCGCGGTCGTCCAAGACTTCCAACCCTGTGGCTGGTCACTGAAGTGACTGCTTCAATCCAAAGCTAACCATATCCCTCATTGTAATTTAAGTTTGATCATAAGGCAGCCAAGATCGAATCATCGCAGGTATATTCGTGTCGGGCTGGGCCAAGCAGGACGATTACATACAGGAAAAAATTAACACTTGAACAAATTGAACAAAAAGTAAACTGTTTTTTTTTTTATATCAGCCCTTCGTCCAATAATTGGTTTATATCAGAGTTCGCATGCAATTACCAACCCAACCTGCGTCTAAATCAGAAGTGATATTATTGTTGACCTGGAAAAAATCTGGTTTACTGTTGTTGGTAAGGTTCGGTACAAGGCTGAAGTCGAGGGGCCTCTTCGGCAGGCAATCACATGAGGTGTATCACAACCGGTGGCTGGGATTAACTCTCTGCCGTCTCGTTTCTGTCTCCTCTCCCGTCTGCGAATCGTCTGCTGAATTCACTTAACATTTGCCCAAACTGGCGAGATAAGAGAATTCGATAATTCTTCCACTCTCTCATATTATTACCTCTCACCAAATCTCCTCAGTGTGCATGGGTGGATTATCTCCCCCTCCTGGTATTTCAGCTCAACTTTCGACCAGGGGAATCGATTCCAAATTTGTTGTTTATGAAAACTTTTCGCTTTACAGCTTGCATTTGCAGCTGTGTGTCAGTCAACATTGCCCTGTAAGTCTGGGTCACTTTTCCATTGTTCAAACTGTACGTCATACAATTCAAGTCGTTTATGTGTGACTTAAATCCTCAATTCTTCAGACGAGTTTTTTGTTATTAATCCTTCTCATTTCAATGTCTCTCAGCATATAACACTTTCTATTGATAAGAAAACTTTATTAGGTTTTATTTTACCGCGGTAACAGCATATGATATCACAATAAAAAAGACACTCATATTTAACATTAGTTAATATTTGAATTTTTTAGAGAAGATCATGAGGAAAGAGGGCTTGTAAAATTTGACACTCACAGGGCAGATTGAAGGCAAGAGGAAAACAACGCAAGCCCTACCTGGTGAGCTTGAGTTTATGGATGATGGGGCTGGGTTTTTGGGAGAAATAGCCAAATAATTTTTAAGAGCTACAAAGGACAGGAAAATGTGGAGATCCATGATTGCCAACCACCTCAAGGGAGACGGCACACAGAAGAAGAACAATGCGCTTAAGTAAATGGATGGCGTAACAAGGGTTAGGAGAGATTACAAAAAGACAAAATTTATTAAAAGCTACGAAGGACAAGAAGTTGCAAGGGGGGGATGATCGCCCACTTCCTGAAAGGACACGGCACAAAGAAGAAGAAGAAGAAGAAGAAGAAGAAGAAGAAGAAGAAGAAGAAGAAGCTTGAGTAAATGAATGGAAGAACAAGGTTTAGGAAAGATAAAAAAAATTATTAAAAGCTACAAAGGACAGGAAATTGTGGAGAGCCATGATCACCTACGTTTTGAAGGGACAAAAAAGAAGAAGCTTGAGTAAATGAACGGAGGAACAAGGTTTAAGAGAGATAACGAAAAGACAAAATTTATTTAAAGCTACAAAGGACAGGAGATTGTGGAGAGCCATAGTCGGATATATTCTGAAGGGACACAGCACATAGAAAAAAGGATGAGTTTGAGTAAATGAATGGAGGAACAAGGTTTAGAAGAAATAACAAAAAGACATATTTAAGAACTGCAATAGACAGGAAGTTGTGGAGAGCTATGTTCACCAACCCACTTAAGGGACACGGTACATAGGAGACGAAAACTTTAAACTCCAAGTTCTTTTTTGTCGTCGTGTAACTGCGTAAAAAGCACCCCCACTCATCTCGTGACGTCGGTTCAACTAATTCGACCTTAATCTGACACCGGGTTAGTTGATATGGACCTGTGTTAAGTATAAAAAAAAGATAAGTGCACATATATATGTAAAAAAAAAAAAAACCAAAAAAAAAAAAAAAAAACGTAAAACAATGTATATACAAAGAAAGAAGACACCGGTTCTCATAAAATGAAATTGTTTAACAAGGATTTCCGAGCTTCACACTTGATCAGTAAAACAGACAAAAGAAAAGAAAACGGAATAAAAGGAAAGAAAAAACGATCCAGTTGTACACAACAAACTTACCTAAATATAAATGACCAAAGTGTGACACAAGGCAATGGCGATGAGGAAGAAGGAAACAGAAGTTTGGTTTTATAAAAGTGAAAAAAAAATATGTCCGTTAATTTCTTTTGAAGTGAAAATTCGCGTCTTGTGTTTCATATCCAGTAATATATTGCAGAAAGTTTAAAGAATTTATTCTTTGATTAAGATATCCAACGTTAATCTTTTACAAAGGCGTATTCCTTTTTTTGTCCGAATATCTGGTAATCAACCTCACCAATTCAGTACTTGAGGTCCATATAAAAAAACTATTATCGACTGGTTTTAAATGTTACTTCTAGCGACGAAGCAATGCAAGTTACGTTTCTAATTAAGAATACACAGACGTATTGTTGCCTCTAAATTTATGTTTGCTAACAAAATCCGCGAAATATTTTCCTTTTTCGCATGAATACTGACTAAAACTATTTTCTTGGTTAATGAATGTGGGAAGAAAGGTGGCCTGGGCTTTTTGACCATGTCGAAAAAGAGTTAGAAATTTACGTCTTGAAAGAAATATCATCAATTAACGATTCAAATTCGAACGCTGCGTGTTTGGTTTTAAATAAACGGGCTGAGCAGATGTTATCCGAAAAGAAATTTGTTTCTTTATTTTCATTGCAACACGAAGGTGGATTTTGATTCTTAAGTTCATAGAAAAATATCGAATGTCATTGTTTTTATTTTAACGAATGATTACGATCTTAAAAGACACGCATCATTGCCTTATTATGTGGATCTATAATTTTACTGATCTAAATTCTAAAATTTAGTTTTTTTAGTCATCTATTTTTTATTTCATTTTTTTAAAATAATTTTTGAAAAACTTAATTAATTATTATTTTTCTTTTGCATTCTTCTTCTTTTTCCTGTCAATATTTTATTTTTGCTTGTTTTTTTTTTAACACAACACAGTGTCACGCCATAGCCCTTTAAGTACACACGTTAAAGCCAAAGACTTATGGAAACCCACTGGATGTAATAATTAGTAAGTTTCATACTTTATTTAGTTTAATTAACTCCCACTACTTATTGATTTAAGGATCAGCTCCAAAGGACCTTGCTGAGGACAGAAATCGATCCGGTCAATTAGGAGACGGAAGTCGCAGAAAGAAATAATTGGTAAAAAGCAATCAAGTAAAAAACATCCTTTGAATACACTACCATTAGATGGGTGAGAACGTCTATTCAGATCCAACATAGGATTTATTTCACATGGACGGAAGTCGATGAGTACCCCAATATCGGCAACGGGGTTCCGCCAACTACGACTGAACTAGAGGTGCTGAAACTATTTAACCCAAAAGTGTTGGCGTCCATTTTTAGAGAGTGGCTTACCTAAAATTTTAAATCCACCAGCCCCAAGATTAACATTATCCAGTAAGACGATTAACAAAAAGATTTCATTAATAATGTAAGGGAATTTTATGCAATAATACGTTAGTT